CAGTGAAAGTGCGGTTAGTGTTTTGTATGTCTACCCAAGGTCGGCCTATGGAAGAGCCATTTGTTGACTTCGGCAACCATCCAAAAGAATCCCTCCCTATAGATGGAAGCTATCACCTTTCTCTAAAAGCTTGAATTTTTGTTGGCGAAGCGCCATAACCATTTCATAAGAAGTGCTTTATTCCTTGACAAGAGAAATCCTACATTGAGACCCTCTTGTTTGTGAGGCAAAACAGCCCACGTCGCACGACTACTTCACTTGGTTTTCAATAGGCATGTGTTTTCCCCCATTCCAAATGAATTCTCTCGTGAGCTTCTCCATCGAGGAGGTCACTGATTTAGGAGCTTTGAGGATTGAAAAATAATATATGGAAATACTATTCAAGACTACCTGAGCCAACGTTAACCGCCCACCTTTTAAAAGAATCAAGGATCTCCACTTTTGAATTGTCTTATGCATTTTGTCCACTACGAGCTCCCAAAAACTAGGAGTTCTATGATTACCACCAAGGGGAAGCTAAGATAAGAGAAGGGAAAAAATTCTACCTTGCAGCCAAAAGTAGAGGCCCAGAAATTTACCTCATAAGTGCTGCAATTTATCTCTATCACTGCTGTTTTAGCAACATTCAATGAAAGTTCCGACATAAGTAAGAAAAAGTGAATCAAACCCCACCAATTTTCCATCATCTGAGAAGAGTAAGGGCTAAAAATCAAAATGTCGTCTGCATACTGAAGATGAGTGATCTCTATAGCGTTTTGGCCAATTGTGAATCATTTCCTCTCATAGCAGAAATGAATCAATCGACTTAAAGCATCTCCCACTATGGTGAAAATGAAGGGAGACAAGGGGTCGCCTTGTCTAAGACATCTCTCGATCAAAATCTTCCCTCTTGGTCTTTCATTGATGATAACCAAGAAATTCGTGATATCTTGAAATTGTATAATCCCATGCATAATCCCAGTCGAGATTATGCAATCCCGATTGAAATTGCATAGTTCCAAACATAATCTCAACCTAAGATTATGCAATCCTGGTTAAAATTGCACAATTTCAAGCATAATCTTGATCCGAGATTATACAATTTCAGGATGACATAAAATTTTTCATTGGTCAATCCCACGAAGCTTGTAAAAAGCCAAACTGAAAGCATTTTAGCCAGGATTTTCCAGCCAACCCAACCGGTGAAATTCGATTGCAGGTCACTCAGTCTCTTTTTCAACCGATCCCCAGAACTAAAGGCTACATTTTAAAATACGGATCGAGAGTTCATCTCCATGGCTACGATTTCTACATTGTCCTTGAAGGATTTGGAAACTTTAACCCAGTTGTTTGAGCTCGGATTCGCCAAGCTCGGAAGAAAGATAGGTCGGATGATCGGAAGAATCTTCTCTAAGCTGCCAAACGACCTCCTAGAACACTTGAGGAACCTGCAAAACAAGATTAGCACTCCGACGAGCAAGTTAGTTCCAATCCGATCTAACTTGCCCAGTATGTCTAGGTTTGCGTACCTGCATTTAAGACAGAAGTTTCTATTTATAGAAATTAGGCCCGACAGAAACTTTTACACACCCTAAAAATGCAACGTGTTGTCGGGATCGGAAGAGACACCGTTACGAACATCACCAAACGTCAGCTCAGCTCCTTAGGTCGCGCTCCAGCTGCCGACCTCAGTGTTTTAAGGTTAATCTCTATATTTTGTACGGATGCCAATTCAACTGTTCTTTTCAATTCTGACACGTGTCAGGTCAAAATCCATATCCAACATTGGCCCCCACTTCGGCGGGGCAGAGGTCGGCTTGACGAAGTACTCCAGCGAGGATGAGTTGAACCTACGTGTTCATACGTGACGTCATGAATTTCGTCGGCCCTAATTTCTATCTTGAGAACTTAAGCACCGCGTGGATCGCCCATCGTGGACAAATCTTGTCCGTTGATTCTCTCTCGATTGAACGATCCTCGTGCCTCTGGGCTGCTTTATAAAAAGCAGAGTTTTTTCTCATTTCACTTTTCACTTCGAAGCTTTTTGAGTACCTCGACCGTTGCCCAAGTCAGGTACTTTCTCCCTCTTCCATTAGGTAGTTTTTTAGACCTCTTCCTTAGTTCTAACCATGAGTAGTTTGTCGAGTGACTCATCGTCTGGGTCGACTAGCTCTTCAAGCTCAGATAGTGTCTTAAGAGACCAAAACTTAGCTTCTACTTCGAGAAATCCTCACGTAGATCATAGCTCGGTAAACCCTAACGTAGCTTCCACCTCAGGGAACCCTAACCTAGCTTCCACCTCAGGAAACCCCACTGCTGGCCCGGTAGTTGAGCTTCCTCCCTCAACCTGCTCGGTAGGTAGGCTAGCCGAGCTCTGTAAGACCTACCTTATCCCTGATTTTATAGAGCTCAGGGTGCCCAACGTCGACGAATACCTCGAGGACCCCCTTCCGGGCTTCATTAGTTTTTACCCCCAAATGTTTAGTAGGGGGTTAGGCTTCCACTTCATCTGTTCATAATCCAGAGGTTCCTTAGTGCGATCAACCTCGCCCCAGCTCAGCTCTCTCCCAACGGATGGTCTACCGTGCTCTGAGCTTATGTGTTGTGGTGGACCATCCAGGACGAGGACGAGGATAGGTTGATGAAAAATCAGCTTCTAGCCACCCACACAGTTAAAGCCGCCAACAAGGGGGAAGGTAGGTATTACCTCTCAGCTCGGAGGAATGTAGGTCAGCTCATTAGGAATCCCTCTTCTAATAAAAACTGGAATGAGTGTTGGTTCCTCATCTCTGGTGATTGGCTCGTGAGAAACGAAGGGGGTGAGCCGATCAGCCACGTTCTAGTAGATTTCGGAGACGTAGGTGACTGTCTTAAACAAGAGCTAGGTCCTTTTGGGTCTTCTTTCTTTCTTTCCTTTTTCCTGACAATGTTTTGTGGTGCAACTCTGCCATCTCCCGTTTTGAGGATAAACAACAAATCGTGGAAGATCGTCAAACGAGCTCAAGGTCGAAACCTTAAGTACTCTTTGTGGGGTGAGGCTCTTGTTTCAAAATCCCACCTCTTCTCTTGCGGTCTCAGCCTTCACGACCAGCCGGACGAGTTCAAGAGGCTCCCCAAACCTCGACAACGTGGGTCAAACAAGCGCAAAACTTTAGAAGGTAACCTCTGCTCGGTATGTTGGTTCATATCCTAAATGACCTCACTAACCTTGATTCCTCTTATAGGAATGGCTTCCAAGTTCCTCGCTCTAGGTAGTGGAAAACGGCAGCGTGCGTCTACGTCGGCTGCTCAACCTGCGGCACCCCAGGCTCGTCAGCGTACGAGTAGTGCTGACGCCCCTACCCCTGGCCTTGCTAACCTAGCTAAGGTTCAGGCTCTCCAAGCTCAATCTCTGCAGACCGTTGTCGGAGGTRAGGGGTCGGTAGCTTCTCTTTTGCAGAAGAAGCAAGCGAGGGAGACACTCCGATCCGAAGAAGTCACTTCCAAATCTCCACCACCCCCCATGGTAGTTGACTCGAAAGAGGGGTCCCTACTAGATCAGCAATTTGGTGACGGGTTCTGATTCTCGTTCAAGCTCGCCTTCTCCCCGCCGAGCATCCAAGATGTCACGATGAAGGTGAAGTCTTCAAACTCTCGCCAGGTGGAGCGAGCTATCCAAACGTCGGCGAACCCTGCGGAGGCGCTGAGGAAGACAATGGCTCTTGCTGCAAAGGTAGCTCTGTCTGCCCTTCTTTTTGCCTTTTCTTAGGCTGGCCTTTGGTAGCTCCAAGTCCTCTCCCT